TTTGGGGTTTGGGGTTTAGGGTCTGTCCCAAAAGCCGTAAACAAATCCTAAGCCCCTCCAAAAAGCCCCCGCACCCTAAACCCTGAACCCTAACCCTAAACCCTAAACCCTAAACCCTAAACCCTAAACCCTAAACCCTAAACCCTAAACCCTAAACCCTAAACCCTAAACCCAAAAAAGCCCTGGCCCCAAGCGCAACTCCCCAACGCCCACGAGTCGCCTGGTTGACTCCGAGGTCCAAGGATGATGGAGAAGAGGAGGCGAAGGACGCCGGGGAGACCAAGCAGGAGGAGAAGGCCCTTTGCGGTTTAGGGTTTAGGGTTTAGGGTTTAGGGTTTAGGAGGTTCATGAGTAGTTACAAGCAGGGATATCAGCAGGGTGAGTGTAGTTATATCGGTATAACCTAGAACAAGCAGGGATATAAGCAGGGCAACTGTAGATAGGGACTTCTACCCCCACTTAGAATGATTTCGCATGAACCTCAAGTAAGGTATGTGTGGGAGACCGATTTTTATCGGGTCCCTACACGGGTTCCGTTTAAAGGTTTCTATGGGTACCCGTAGCTGAAACAACCTGCCTTTCTCGGCCAAAGCAAGTGACGCAAAATACTAAATTCGCGGTCTCTCAATCTGGCATGTGGATGTAATGAAATGACCTGCAACTGGCATAGACATCTTGCATCATCTTGCCATCGCCAATCAGTTCGAACCTGCAAGACATCTGTACGATTGTGTAAAGTTGCTTACCCATGTGCAGTGCCCGCAAAATGCAAAAAGGGCGATGCTTCGCCATGCGCCACTACACCCTACGCCCTAAACCCCAAACCCTAAGCCCCGAACCCGACACCCTAAACTCGAAACCCTCAACCCTGAACCCTGACACAAAAACCCTGAACTCGAAACCCTCAACCCTATGCCCCTGTCGCAAAAACCGGAACTCGAAACCCTAAACCCTGAACCCTACACCCTAAACCCTAAACCCTAAACCCTACCCCAAGGCGCTCGAAGGCCTGAAAGCCTGGGTCTGGGGGATTTAAGGGACTTAGGGGATTTTAGGGGATCGGGCTTAGGGTCCAGGGGATTTAAGGATTTCGGGTCTAGGGGATTAAGGGGATTAAGGGGATTCAGGGGATTAAGGGGATTTAGGGGATTTAGGGGATTTAGGGATTCAGGGGATGTAGGGTCTAGGGATGTTTGGTTTTGGGGATGTAGGGTTCAGTGAATTTCGGGCTTAGGGAATTTGGGTTTTCAGGGAAGTCAGGGTTTGTGGAGCTTAGGGTTTAGGGGGCCTTACAGTGTCTGAAGCTCGTCGCAAGCGATAGGAGGCCGCCCCCAGGAATTTGGATCCTATGAAAGCCTTCTATTTGATCAGCTCGTTTCAAGTCCTTCTCAATGCCGTCACATTCAGGGTCCTGACAAAAGCTTATTTTTCAAGACGGACAGAACCTACTGGAACCCTGCTACGAGCTTCCTGCACGACCCCATAAAATTCCGCAGCAACCAACTATGGAGATGAGGTAGGGTTAAAGTGCAGGTTTCTGGTGAGCGTAGATTAGATGGGACTCCTTAGGAAGATTGGTGCACATTACTATGGGGTGTTAACTCTGTAGATATGAGCAAAAAAGCGCTAGTTCAAGCCCACTCTACGCATTGAGGCCCCGATAGTAAGCCCCGCATGAAGGGAACCCACTAACTACCCTAAACCCTAAACCCTAAACCCTAGCCCCATGCATCGTCAGGCTGGTGATCAGCCAGTGGCAGAGCAAGCTCCGGCAGACGAGGAGCTGGGAGCCAGCAGCCTAGGGGCCTGAATCAGTGGAACAGATTAGGGTTTAGGGTTTAGGGTTTAGGGCTTCGGGTTTAGGGTTTAGGGTTTGAACAGATTCGGGGATGTTCTACTTGGAGGATCATGGGACTTAGTAGCTAGGGTTATAACTAAGGTAACTATAGTTATAACCCCAATTAGGGGACTTATAACCTTACTTGCTAAGTCCCATGATCCTCCAAGTATAATGCCAAAACATAAACCCTAAACCCTAAACCCTAAACCCTAAACCCTAAACCCTAAACCCTAAACCCTAAACCCTAAACAGGGAGCCCTGAGGAATGATATTGGGAATCCTTCAGGCTTCTACATTAGATGGCGAGCATGAGGTTCAGAGTTGTCGGTTTTGCGTTCAGGGTCTTGTTCGAGGGTTTGGGCGCAACGAAAAGCCGCCCGACAGTTGGGCCGAACATTTTTCCAAAACCCAGAAGCCAGGAGCCCTGAACCTTAAACTGTGGTGAACTAGCTTTTGTATAGAACTGTTCTGGCACTCCTTGCAGAGCGCTTAAGTGAACCCATTACAGGACCCCGAAGCTGTACTAAACCCTAAACCCGTTTTAGGGTCTAGGGTTTTGGGTTTGGTCAGGGCTTGCAGATTTGGTGTTTCGGGGTTCCGGGAACATTTTCCCTTCAAAGCCTAGCTTTAGGACTTAGGGTCGCGGGTTTGAGGGTTTAGGGTGGCGGCTTCGAGGTTCAGAGGGCCGGGATCACAAGTAGCATAGTAGGTAATTGTAGACATTAGGAGTCCGGGGCTCTTCGAATTCTGAGCCACTTTTGGAAATACATTGGGCCGTAGAAACTAGAAGAAGGTTTGGGGTACGTTCTATCCTTTATGTAGAAGGGGGCTATACGAAGGATTTCCATACAGATTTGTATGTTTTTTTACGATGCGAACTCCATGTGGTCTTGAGCTGATCCCAAATCCACAGGCGCTATAGAAGCCCTGATAGTAACTCTTTCCGACCTTGCAGTTACCCTGATCCCAATCCTTAAGTCCTCAAGAAGGCCTGTCGGGTGCTCAAAGTGGGACAGTGTACTCGGAGCTTCGTGGGTAGTTATCAGCAGAGTTGCAAGTCTCGTAATATAGGTTATCGTTTTAGTGATCCAACTTTTATCTACTTACAACCACCCTGAAACCTTCGCTCTAATGCCCTAACCTTAAACCCTACCCAAAACCCTAAACCCAAAACCCAAAACCCTAAACCCTAAACCCTAAACCCCTAAACCCCTAAACCCAAAACCCTACATAAACCTACCCAAAACCCTACATAAAGCTACCCCCTTCACCTGCCAGTAGGGATGGCCTGGCAGGACCGCCTGACACCCGTGCTCAGGATGATGGAAGGCAAGGCCACGGTTTGAGGGTTTAGGGTTTAGGGTTTAAGGATTTCGGGTTTTGGGCTTTGAGCCTTGGCTTGAATAAAGGGAGGTTGGGTAACTCGAAATATTATATCTGAGGGATCTTTGCTGCGATGATAGCATCGAATTCAACCTTTAAGTTTTGCCTTGTTTAAGGGTTTTAGTAGGGTTTAAACCCTAAACCCTAAACCCTAAACCCTAAACCCTAAACCCTAAACCCTAAACCCTAAACCCTAAACCCTAAACCCTAAACCCTAAACCCTAGGGTTCGGGCTAGGGCTTTGGTTTGGGGGCCGAGGCTTGGGTTTACGTTGTAGGGCTGGGGGGCTTGGCCTTCAGGCAATCTAGCAGCCTTGTGATGGTTGAGGGTTTTAGGGTTTAGGGTTTAGGGTTTAGGGTTTAGGGTTTAGGGTTTAGGGTTTAGGGTGAGGCTAGGGGCTTGAGGTTTGGGGCTATGGACGGCTTGTGGCTTGTGGTTTGGGGATGAGGCTATATTTTTTTGTTTGTCTGTCGTAGACGTCAAGGCAAGGCTTCATGTCCGTACGGTTTGCTTGGAGGAGCAAGTGGATATGCAGTCAGGCAAAATAGAATATGGTGAACTAACGCGGAGAAGATCCTTTATTCCCCTTTTTCTGGATTCCGCAGATTGTGCGCATCAGCCGCATTTTCTGAAGTGCCCTCGCCCTTCAAGCAGGCTTTCCGACATCCCCAACAAATTGAACCTCGGAGCGAATCATCACCACGAGGCGAAACCCAGGCCCCAACAACAACTTCGATCCTCG